GTCTCTCTAGCTAAATCTCCACAGGACCTGGTACTGAGATGGCCCCACATACCCACTAAACGTGGTGCAGTGCCTAATGGCATTGCATTTATTTTTGATATATTCTGTGTCCTGCTCAACTATCTGTTTCTCAGACTGCCAGATATCTTTCTCAGATTGCCAAATATCTTCCTCTGTCTATAAAAATGAAATTTGGCAGGAAGGATACCTAGGGTTTTAGAAGTTACAGTCCCTGAAAATTGCTTTGTTTTCTCTGCTGTTGGGATGACATAACAGCTGGAATTATGTTTCCCATTGAACCCAATGGAAAATAGATAATGCTATAACAAAAGGAAATGTACGTAGCCACAATTAAGAAAAAACCCTAAACGTTTAACATTTGCTCATCTCCGTTGTACATTTTATAAAAAAATAGGTGTTTGCTGTATCTGTGCTACATTTTTAGTTGTATGCTGTGCTTAAGAAAATTGTTATGTCTGAGGTGGCCCCATTGGACTGTGTTTTAGAAGGACAGTTTAGGACAGGACTGATCAGTACACTGCTTTGTGAATGTGAGACAGGAGTTGTATTCCGTTGCTAAAGGTCTGATATTATCGGAGCAATGTACTAACATATGTTCATTATTTGGTCACTGTTCTGTGACTTTAGGAAATGCTAGTGACATGATTCCCATTTTATGAATGAAGAAACAGACACAATAACTCACACAAGGTCACATTCCTGCCTTAAATATAGCCAGAACAAGAGCTTGCCTCTCGTATCTTCTGTTTCTTACTGGAATGGGTTGTCCTTTTTTATCTCAGTGCACAGAGAGATGGAATGTTCCGCACTCTGAACTTGCTGTTTCTTCTTTCTTGGAGTCATCTGTCCGTGAGCAGTGTTTGCCTACTGTAAGAAAACCAGTATTTACTTCTGTAGACATGAGAATAACAAGATGCTGGTTTCTAGTTCAGTGGCTCTGGAATGCAGTGTCTGGCCCTAGTGTAATCGATAGGGTCATTTTAGGAAATGTGGTTAAGGTGGTGTAGACCCCATGTGAGTATTCTCAATATCCGATTTGTCAGAAGAAATGGATAAGTTTATATGTGGGTATGCAGTGAGATAATGATGTCTTGCCTGTTATGTTGAACTGATAGATTTTTGAGGAAGTTGAAAATGCTTTGAGATAGGCATTGCTTCCTATGACATGTACATATATTTCAGTTGCCCACTATATTTCTGGTTAAACAGGTTTTCGAGGCTTTTGGAACAGGATAGAAATGTGCAAACATGTTTACCAGCCAATTTTCTATGTTCCTGCCATAGTGACTTCTTCCATGTGATAGCTGTAAGGAAAGGCAGCTGATGTGGTGTACAAAGAACCATAACATATGAAGGAATGTATTGGATCAGAACACAGACCAACAGAAAGTGGTCTCATAGTTGGTAGTCAGTTTCAGAGCCAGTTTGGTGTAGTGGTTAAGAGTGGCAGACTCTAATCTGGAAAATCGGGTTTGATTCCTGACTCTTCCACATGCAGCCAGCTGGGTGACCTTGGGTCAGTCACAGTTCTCTCAGAGCTGTTCTCTCAGAGCTGTTCTCTCAAGAGCAGTTCTCTCAGAGCTCACTCTGCCCCACCTACCTCACAGGGTGCCTGTTGTGGGGAGAGGAAAGGAAGGAGATTGTAAGCCACTCTGAGTGAAGGGCAGGGTATTAATCCAATCTTTTCTTCTTCTTCAAAGATCGTCTCAGATCCTTGATATGAACTGTCAAACTGCAATATTGATTATAACAGGTGTAACTGGGAGCATCTATGAGGAAGAGTGACTTAAGAGTGACTGTGAAGAGTATCTCCTTGGGCCTAGCCTTATCCTCTTTGTTGTCTGTAATAGTTCGTTGGGCCTAGGTTGTTTTACAAGTTACGTTTTTCCTATATGGAGATAAT